TCGGGGCTGCTGCTAACGTCACCGGTCCCAGAGGAATCATCCGATTCACTCCGAGGGCCGGCGTCGAAGAAATCCATGGCGTCGTCCAGCGAACAGTCTCCCGCCACGGACAGGCAGTCCTCGATGGTAGCCTTAAACAAGGCTGCTCTCCTCTGCCTTTCCTCCGGTGGAAGCTCGTCACAGAGGCGGCAGGAGGAAGCGCGGGCGACGTGGCGGGGACCCAGACATCCCTCGCAGGTGTCGTGCCGGTCGAAGCTGAGCAAGTAACTGGTCTTGCAGGAAGGACACAAGCGAATGGTGTTGTAGCTGGACATCTTGTTGAAGGTCAGTTGTTTTTTATTAGCTTGCTGAAGAAAAATGGGAGCCGATTACCCGCTCTTAATGTAACTTATACGGATCGGGTGGGGCCCACACAGCAGGTGGGCGTGGACTAATTTTTTCAGTATGATGCTTGCGCATAACGGGATAAACCCATCAGCGACAGCCTTAAAGGGCGAAGCCTATACGACATAGAACAGGCTGTTTAAAAAAAATCCCTGAGTGTCTACAGTAAAGTTACCCCATAGAAAACTTTGGGCGTATTTTCTGTCTTTCTTTCAAAGTGGAATGATCACAATAAGGAGATCTGTGCTTAAACTGAGCTCAGTGGCAGCGGAGGGGCTGGTAGCTCCTTAGAGGACTCAAAGAGCGCCGAGGCCTCTGCTGTAATTACAGCTCAGTATGAAGGTGGCAGCTGTTGCTGGCTCGGCTCCTTGAGGCCGACCTCAGCTATGGGACTATAGACGGTCACCTCCTGACCACTCATCAGCTGAAGTGCCAAAGAGAAAGAAAGAAAAAAAACACCTTTCATCTTTCACTCTCTTTCTTTTCTTTTTATTTTTTGTCTCTTTCATGTTTGATCTCACCTTTTGTTTCCTTTTTTCATGTTTTTTACATGTTCACAACACCCTCTGTTTGATTATAGACCTGCCCATATGGAACACTTTTCTATTTTAGGTAAAAAGTTGTTGTTGTTTTTGTTTTTTAGCCCTGCATCCAAATGGAAATGGCATTTTATTTTTCCAAAAACGGTTCTGGAGTGAAAAAATCTTGAACTGCCTCTTTTGCATTTTTTGTGTGAATAGCCTAAACACTACCTTTTGAAAACTTACAGTATAGATTCACCTTTGATAATTTTTTTTCTACCAGTAGACAGGGCCCAGGAAAGCTCTCATGCCCTGAAGGGACACATGCAGCTGTATATGTCATGGATTCCTGGGGTGTTTGGAAGATGATGTGCCTGTCTGTGCTGTCTATTGAGGATGTAAAAGACGCGTACATAATTGGATTTATGATAATAGGGTTTCTGCTTTTAGGAATTGGCGGATACCTGGGTTATCGGTTAATAAGGAAGACATCGGCAGCAGTTTTGGCAATAGTAAAGCTGCCTGCCTCATATGAAGGATTACTTTGTGCTTCGAGCTGTCAGACTAATTTGCTTTGCGAGCTGAACTGTAAGCTAGACGTAATTTCTGAAATCATGGACCACTTGCAACTCCTAGGACTTGCCGGCGTAAAGGATTCAACCTAGGAGAAGGCTAACAAGCACAGACCGGTGGAATGTCCATCGATTTGGCTGTTTGGATTCGCCACTGAGTCTACCAGCAGAACTGAGTCAGACGTCAGTAGAGTTGTCCTGCCCAAAACAATTGCAGTTAATCTGAATTTAGCCTCAATTTATCTTAAATTTCTCCTGGACGACACATAAACTACAAAGCTCTGCTGTTTCCTGTGTTTCCACCTGGATGAAAACTTTTCGAGAACAGTGCAATGTTTACATGAATACCGGTATTTTTAGAACAACAAATAAAAAAATAAGCATTTGGAAAAACAGCATTCTTGTGTGGACAAGCCATTAGATAGTGTGGTGCAGTTCTCCATGGGTGGGAAAGTGAGCTCCTGAAAGTAATGTGACACTTTGAGAGTCATCCAAACAGCTGAAAAAGACCCCAGTCTGGATTTAATAAGACAGAAAAACAAAGTAGCTTCTATCTGATATGTGAGGGGTGTCATGATTCTTTTTGGGTAACTAGAGGCAACAGCAGCCTTTCTACTCACTGATAAGTGGAAGACACTAATTCAAATAAAGACTGTAATGAGACTTTCAGACAAAGTGCGCTCTCAAAAACTGTTTAATGAGGTAACTTAGAATGTAAAAAGCATTATTTTTCTCCTCACTAGATAAAATTGAGAGTTGCAATTTAAATAATGCTGATCGTCAAGATATTGCTCGCTGAATTGCAGACGTGGAATGATGAGATGAGGATAAATCCCTGGCTGAGGTCAGCTTCAAACACAGCGGATAGTTCAGAAACATGCGCATTTAATCTTCCGAATCCCCTTTGCTCCATATCCAAGTGTTATGCAAGCCAACCTGGGGTCAGATAATTAAGATGGAGGAGATAACGCTTACTCCATCAGGTCCAAAATGTTGCAGGTACGTAGAGGTGCAGCTGGAATATTTGCCGTGACTGCAAGGCTAATCCCTCCCTTTTCCATTAACACCAGTGGTCCTCTCGTTAGGAGACAATAAAATCTGATGCTTATACAGCTTATTTTGTCTAAATGGCGCTATTTAGAAATGACACACAAAGTCCTGGGACTACTTTCTGGTTCTCTGATTTTCAGGCTGAATGTTGATAACAGAAACATCAGACATAAACACAAGAGAGTCACATACATGTATCACAACTATAGGCTTAAAAACCTACTGCAAACCCTTTGGTCAACAGTGACGTAGTGGTTTTAATCCGTTTATGATGTGTGTATGAGAAGATAAAGCGAACAAACTCACATGTTGTACAGGACACACCAGCCACAGTGCGGATCACTGGAGCTGAGGCACTCTGCACATGTGCTGTACTGCTCACAAGCCTCCACAGGGACCTGGACCACCTGAAACCAGATGGAGAGCACAAAGAGCTAAGATGTGGGAGGTCACAACAGTTAGAAACAAGTCAAACAGTTTGTAAAAAAGCTATCAAAGTTCATGCTCAATAATCCAGGTAAAATATCCAACAAAGTTCTGTCATGTCATCTGGACGGTTTCTTTTTTGGATGAGACGTTTCATTCTTCATCCAAAGGACTTCATCAGTCCAAGGAGCCACAACAAACTGAGTCCCACAAGCATCACACCCACATAGTGGGTCAACCAGTTTGCTGGTGATAAGATGGTTTCTGAGGCCCTCTCCCCTGTCAACCCATTGACTTTTGTTAAGATATTTTAATCTAGACTGGTCCTATGGTTTTGATCTGCTCAGAGACGGGATTATAATTAAATTATGACCCGGTTCTGACTGGGTTAAACTGGGCCAGCAAACTCTAAAGAGAGTCTCTCTGGGATTTCAATATCAGCCAAGGAATAGAGTTTGATCTGCTTGCCACATCACGTAGAAAGGCTTTGAAGCACCGTCTCATATTTTTCCTAACACGTCAGTCAACATAAGATCCACTGAAGATCACACTTAGTCACGCCCCCTCATACATGTGGGGCGGCTGTGGCTGAGTGGTTAGAGCAGTCGTCCTCCAATGCGAGAGTTGGGGTTTCAAAATCCACCAGCAGTCACATGTCAAAGTGTCCCTGGGCAAGACACTGAACCCCTCATAGTCTCTGATGTGTGTCCCATCAGTGTATGAATGTGATCTAAAGCACCGATTAGTCTCTTTAGAATGATTTGTTCAATTAGCTTTGTAGAGTGCTGTATGAATGGGTAAATGAGGACACAGATTGTAGTGTAAAGTGCTTTGAGTATCTTGAAATAAGATAGAAAGGCGCTATATAAGTACAGTCCATTTACCATTTACCATACATGACAGGTTGAGCTCCCCTTCTGTGAAGGAGGAGCCTTAGGACCCTATAAATGAGTAATGACACGAGACATCGGGGCTCTTCCGGGTCTGTGAACGCGTCACAGTCTGGAGAGTCCAGCGTTGTAAAACTGTAACCTTTCCTGCCTTTTTTAATATAATTGATAAAACTTAATTGACGTCTCATTGATTTATTGATAGTATGAGTTGACACTTCTGAGAGAGATAGAACCAGAGGAAGTGGTGGGGGCTGGCTGAGGGTCCAGGGTCAGAGAGGAAGCCTGAGGCCCACAGCAAGCCGTAGCTAGCTGCAGTGACTGATGACCCGCAGTCGGATCTCAAAACGCAACAGCTGGTGCCGAAACCTTTTCTCTCGTCTGTAGAAGTGGCAGCTCATTTTTTTTTTATTGTTTAATGGAGACACAGCGGCAGGTGACCAAGTCGGAGCAGACTGTTTTCTAGACGGCTTTTAACATGAGGTAAGCAGAAACCTGTTATATGAATTTCTGGTGTCCCTTAAGGACTGACAGGCCGCTCTGTTTTCGGTCCGGTGTACGCAGTTTTTGTGAACTTAAAGGCAGTGGAACGTTACAGTTTTAATGCATGATTTTGTGAGTGTATTTATCGGACGTAGCAATTTATATACATAACGTTTTTTTGCCTGGGCGCACGGGGAGCGGGCCGGAAGCGTTAGCAATAACGCTAACTGGAAGTGGTCCACGAGCGTTTTAAACACGTGATACGTTAATTTTGCTCTAATATTAAACTTCGTCCAGTTGCTTAAATGCTCGTATATAAATTGTTGTTTGTTTATTGAAGAGATATAAAGAAGATACGACGTGGCTGATGGTTTAAGAGCCCCGTGTAAAAATTGTGATGTCATTTCTGCTGACGGTAGAATCTTTACAGAAAGCGTGCTCAGTCCGAAGGACGTTCCGGGTGTAATTGCCCGTCGTTGTTTATTAGAAATGCGTTAAAACTTGAACGTCTGGACAGCGTCAAGAGGTGTGGTATGTGACAGTTTGAAGAAACCCTACGTGGTTTTGGGTGCCTGTGGGGAGAAATTGCTACCTCCTCGAAAGAAAGTGATGGCCTCGGGGTTCTGTTTATGATATCATCCTTAGGTCTGTGAAAAAGGGAAACAGACTGACCAGCAGCACATCCCCTAGCGACGTAGCTGTTTTTAAATGTATATTTTTTTACACATTTTTATTATTTTCTACTTTCGGTCGGGGATGTTCTATTGGGACGGCAGAATCTTTAAAAGTACACCTAAAAGTGAAATGGATACCTAGGAAGAACCTAGAAGAAGGATACCTGCAGAAGACCATACAGAGCTGTTATGGTTAAAAACAGGGATAGATAGCTTTTTAGAATAGGCAGTGAGGGAAACATGTTTTTATAAGTTGAGGGACAGACAAGAACCTTAGTTAGGCAGGAATAGGGAAATATAACATTGTTAATGCCATGTATATTTGTTGTATGAATTATGTTGGAGTGTGAGTATCTGCTGTATGAATGATTGTATGTGTTTGTTAATGTGGAACTAATATAAGTTACTTTACAGATATATAAGAGTGAAAACTAATATCCACAGCTGCCCAGTACAAGGTCACTTAAATAACAGTAAATGTACACAGACTTATAACACATAAGGTAGAGGGAATCATCAAACATCAGGCAAAAAATTGGTAAGTGACCTTTTTATATTCACATGATTTTATTTTAAATAACTTCTAAAGACCAACAGGTACATTTCAAAATGGGAGCCCAGACAGAAAACAGAAAATCTCCACACTCAAGTTGATGTGAGTATATGAACACACAAAGACCTTCTCTCTGAAGATAATGTGACAGGTCAAATATGTTTTTCATTTACTACGGTAACATGTGTGGATTATCGTGTGGTGTCTAGAGTAGAGACAGACTGGAGCCTGGTAGCCAAGATAAACAGACGGCTACCAGTGTCGTCTGACCTTGGTTTTTTTTGTTTTTTTTTCTAGCAAAATTTAGTAGTATTACAGGTTAAAGTGAATTAAATAAATGAGGAAACTCGAACACGTCTGTGAAATTGAACCAACCAGGGTAAAAGTATTTGGGGAATATTGTGATAAATATATTAGTAGATTATAAACAGTTATAAAGGTATATTTCTATAAAAGTTAAGTGTCCTTGACAGAGAACACTCTTTATATATTAGTTATTTAACAAATGTATTAAACTTAAAAGACAAACAGTGATAAATCTAAGGTGTAGACTGAAAAACATTAAATACAAATACACTGGTGGTATAAAATATTTCTTATGAGAGTCCCTTAAAGGTAGAAGGATGATTTAAGCATTTAACACTCTCAACTTCTAAGGAAGCTTATTCTGTTGAACGGAGTACGTCACGATTTCTGACGATTACCAGCCACTCTGACCGGAGACGCTGAAAGATGGCGTGAAATGGACCTCTGTACCAGAGCTGATTTATCTTCTGCAAAGGATAACGAGTCGTCACGTTAATCAAGTGTACCAAGGGCTGAGCTGGGGTCGGAGGAAGGGTGCCATTTCTGGTCAACACATCTTCCTTCATCCATCTAAATCTCCTCTTTAAACTTCTGTACTCCTTCTCTTTAAACTTCTATTCGCCAGTAAATCAGCCAAGTGCCTTCAGAGATTAATTATTCTCCATCAGTAATCCTCTGTTGTCTTATTTGAACTTGCTAAGTTTATTAATCAGAAACAGATCAGCAAATCAATTGTACATGTTTTGATGTTAAATTTTGATTCTGTTAAATAAATGACCGCATTTATTCTGATGGGTCAAAGATAAATGACATCTCTCATGTCACTAATTATACACACCACTCTCAAGTTATCTTGGTCACATGGAAGAAATTTAACTCGAAAAAGAAAGAATCCGTTCTTAATTAAACAATTAATATTCTTTGTGCTTGAACTAGCTTTAAGAATAATTAATTAAGTAGTGTGTCCACAGTGAAACCTGTCCTGTCACACTACATTATTGGTGGCCCGTACGGTTTCTGAAGAGATAAATTGTGTGACCTGATATTGTGATTGTTGAGGATGCTTCATGTTGGCATCTAAAAAGTCCAAGTTTTGACCTTAGTAAGACATATTTCATGGCTGTGGTGTTCAGAACGATACAGTATTGTGTTGATGTTCATTTGAAGCTGGAAATTGTCATTCTGTGTGTGTGTGTGTGTGTGTGTGTGTGTGTGTGTGTGTGTGTGTGTGTGTGTAT